GTGAACCTTATCGTTATGATTAACCATCATATAGCCATTATTTACACCTGATTTTCGTGCTGGCATGTTCAATCCTGCATCAACGATTTGAGTTGTTACAAATGATCTGGTTTTTGATCTTGTGTTGCACGGGATATAACATGAGTCAGGATAGATAATTCCGACAATTGAAAAACAACTTCTTGCATAGCGACAACTCTTATGAAAGATTCATGTGGTTGGAAATATTTAGGTAATGTTTCTTTACCCCATACATAATTGTCAACTGGGTCTTGGGCATCTCTGATATATGTTCTACGTGTATACGCTAGGTCAAATGACGTTGTCAAATGACGTTGTCAAATGACGCTGTCCAATGTGATGTAACCCAATCCCACAAGACGGGTGTAGCTGTCATCATGATAATTTTAGAATATTCGTAAACTTTATTTTTTTTCATCTCTTGATATAGAATTAAAGTTTCCCATTGTTGTTCATGTGCTTCATCCATTAGAAATAGAGCTTTTCTCATGAAATGGGAGATCTGAAGTGGTCCCTGTTATAACAGTGACCATATGTCATTATAAAAATATGGCGATGTCCATCTTGGGTCCATTTATCTATTGATGACTGAGAAGTACTCCTCGTTATTTTGTGAACAAATATTGGGTTATCTAAAGTATTATCAGATAATAGTGGTGAATCCTATTGTGATACTAAAATTCGTCTTGGCATTAAAATAACTATGAACTTAACTCTCTCATTGTTTTTATTTATAAAGATTGTGTCTAAGTTAGGTTCACGTGTTAATGCCGCTATTGGTAACATAACAGATTTTCCAGATCCAGTTACGGCTTGTACTGTAATTACTGTCATATTGTTGATAAATTTCTTTAAAATTAGAATTGATTATTTCTGGAATCCATTTATTATCCCCGTCGACCACTAGAATCCTGTGGTGATATGCGTATGGTAGAAAATCCTCGTATAAAAGCCGTGGAGAGTAATATTATAGAGTTGATATATGGGAGTAATAAATGAAAAGGGAGGATATATCCAAACCATTCAGGTAGAAAATCAATTGACCATGCAGAAACCCGTTTCATCTGAGTATATAGATCTTTAGGAATTGTGGCAGAAATATCAGGGTTACTTTGTGCATTTTCATGCCAGTATGATAAATTGGCTAAAGAATACCATTTAAATACGTCAATTAATAAAAATATTAAAAGCCTCCAAAGAAACCCAATGAATGGCATAGTCATAATTTGTCTTTCTATATAATATGTTAGCATGTACATGTACATACCAGTTATCAATACACATAAGTTGGAATATATGCATGATGGATAGGATTTTACCTCATTATAGTAAGAAGGATTATTATTTATATTATACCAGAAGGTCTGCCCGTCGGTCAAAGCACCAAAAGAGGATTGTTTAATGAGTGACGAAAAGGTTGCATATGATGACCCAATTTGTTCCTCGTTTTTTGTGTAAATAAATTTCTCTATGTAACGACGATTAGTATACCATGTCGGTTTTAAAGAGAGGGGATTTAAAGGTGGTTGCATACGGAAAAATTGTCGTGGTAGGGTTCGAGATAGGCTTAGCCGGCCCACCCGGTTCAGCGCGGCTTAAATTACTGCGGCTCAGCCGCGGCTAAGCCGCAGCAAATATTCCACAAACAAGCGTTTTGCGAAGAATTTATGCTTAGGTGAATTAGGCTGATTTCTAGAACTCCCCCTA